TGTCCCCAGATCAGTGTTGTTGCGCCATTACTGATCCTCCTATGGACTCCTGAACACACAAGGTTAGTTATGGGCAGCCATAATACTTCTCTAATAGTGGCTCGGGCATCCTCCAACAATCGCATCAATAAAAGATGTAGGCGGGTAATACCTAGCTTTATACACTCGTGCTACGAGAGAGGTGGGATTTGTTAGGAATCGTCATGCCTGCTTCCCCAACATGGCCAAATTGAAAGCTCGTAAATCTTTAAAACCCAGACCACCATATTTCCTGGGGATACATAATTTATCCCAAGCCTTCCAGTGTATTCCTCTATCTGCTCCTTTCCCCCACCAATACTTATTCATGGCTCTCTCAATAGACAAACAAACTGACTGTGGTAGCAAAAAGACACTCATAGAAAAAGTAGGCATAGATTGAGCCACACTTTTGAGTAGTATCTCCTTACCAGCCTGAGAAAGCAGCTTCTTGTTCCATGAATTTATCCGTTGTCTGATCTTATCCTCTATATAGGAGAATGCAGCCATTTTGTTGCTCCCTATAAAGGATGGGAGCCCCAAGTACTTCCCAAAATTAGGCGTCTGGACTACTGCCAAGCAGTCTGCCACCTCATTCCTTACACTTTCCTGGGTATTCTTACTAAAGCAGATACTTGATTTATGATAATTCACCATTTGACCAGATAAACATTCATACCTCATTAAACACTGCTTTACCACACTTGCCTCCTGGACATTCGCCTTAAAGAACAACAAACTATCGTCAGCGAAAAAAATATGTGAGATGGGTGGTGCTCTCCGAGCCACCCTACAACCATGAATTGCGCCTGTTATTTGGGCTTTTTACAACAACATAGAAAGACCCTCTGCACAAATAATAAATAAGTACGGTGAGAGAAGATCTCCTTGTCTGAGACCATGGGTTGGAGTTATTTGCCCCCCATTTTGACCATTAACCATAATATTATACTTAACAGTAGTAACGCAGAGCATAATCAAATTGGCCCATCTACCATCAAATCCCATTGCAACAAGCATTTTTTCTAAAAAAAAAAGGCCACTCCATTCTATCATACGTTTTTTGTCATATCCAGCTTTAGCGCTCCCCACCCAGTTACCCCAGTCTGTTTCCTGTTCAAAAAGTGCCCCACCTCCGCAGCTAGCAGGATATTATCCGTCATCAGCCTGCCAGGAATAAAAGCACTTTGAGATTCCGAAATTAGGTCCCCCATCAGCACCTTCATCCTACCAGTTATCATTTTTGCCATAATTCTGTATACCACATTACTCAGGGCTATTGGTCTCATATCCGAAACCCCTTCAGGCACAGCTTTCTTCGGTATTAAAACAATATTAGTTTCATTCAACTCATCCGAAAACACACAGGAATTCAAACATTCAATTATAGAATCAAATACATCCCTCCCTACCACATTCCAAAACTGCTGGTAAAAACCTGGATTCATCCCATCTGGGCCTGGCACCTTATCCGGGAACATAGCAAAAACTGCTTCCCTAACCTCCTCACACTCAAAGGGCCGTAACAACATATCATTTTGCAGTTGGGACACACGTGGGGCAAAAGTATCAAATAAGGGGTCCTCACACACCGGATTACTAGTGGAAAAAATCATTTTAAAATAATCCACAATAACTGCATTCATATCATCCCCCTCAACCCATACATCAGCATCCGATTTAATTCTAATAACAGAGTTCTTTCTCTTTCGGACAGAAGCATACCTGTGGAAAAACTTTGTATTGGCATCTGCTCCCTGGAGCTAATGCTGTTTCGCCCGTTGCTTCCAGAACACATCCTCTTTAGCCTCTATTTGACACAGTTGGTTCTCCAACCGCTGGAATTCAACTAATGACATTGGATCCCTTCGATTTCTGAGAGCCTCATGTTCTTTACGTAGTTTCATAATTCGGTCCCGAAACTTATGAAAGTGATCACCTCCCCACCTCTTGAGCCTTGCCCCACAGTACCGCTGACAATTCAGCAACCTCTCTGCCCTACCATCCTGTCAGGCTATCTCAACCACCTCTCTACACCCCTCATCCAAGAGCCATGCCACTTCAAATTTAAATCCTCTGGGTCCCCCCCCCCCCCCCCCCCCCCCCTTCTCCGTTCGGCCAACACGGCCAGATCAAGGAAAAGCGCAGTATGATCCGAGGAACGAGTCCGGATATTCTCCACACCTGCATCCCTATTCATACCACACCAATCACCAGGACCTTATCCAACATTTCCTCTACCCAGCGATCCGTCCCCGGCCCCCCTCTCCCAAGTAACCTATGGCCGCGCATAGCTAGTTGCACCAAGCCACACCCCTTTACTGCTTCGCCAAAACCCCTTAGGAGCCTGTCCGGATGCCGATTTCCCCCTTTTTTCTCATGCTGGTATAGTAGATCATTAAAATCCCCTATAACAACCCAATGAAGCGAGGATCGACCACTCAAACTAGACAACAGATCCCACAACTCTCTCCTCCTACTTCATTCCGGATAGCCATAAAATCATATCATACTCCACACATCACAATTCCCCAAACTCACCTCCACATCCACATGGTTCTTTGAGTAACTCAATAGCTTCGCTGTATAATTCCTCCTCCATAATAAGGCAAGTCCCCCACTCAAACCTGCATTATCCACATAAAACAAACCCTCGAAACCAAGCTTAATGCGGAGACGTTCAACATGAACTCTCCCCACCTTAGTTTCCATCAGAAAAACGAACTCGGGCTTCTTACGGGACACCATGTCCACTACCTCTCGAACTGTGCGTGGATTGCCCAAGCCACGACAGTTCCAACTCAACGTACTCATGATGATGGGCGAGGATGTGATCCAGCTCTCGCCATGGACAAGTTTTTTGAACTATCCCTCATAACCACATCGACACTCCCTTGCACCGTATGCCGCCCCTTTCCCGACAACTGCCGCCGGCGTTTTGCCGTTGCTACCACCATGTCATCCCCCAGCTCGGCATCATGCACCATCCCTCCAACTACCAGAACCGTAAGGGCCCATTCGGCTACAGCTGGTCCCGCCTCCATGTGACGTGGCTTACCGCCAACCGCTCTAGGAGCACTCCGGGATCCACCAGCTCGCATATCCGAACCATAGGGTACCGCTCCACTGGAATGCCAGCTTCCCTTGCCTGTATGCAGAACGTGTGTAGATGCCCCATATAACCACAGAAAAAAAACAAAACTTGTGCAATCGTTCATACCGGAAAGTTACCCAAGTCGTAGTCTTATCCCTCTTCAACAATTTCATCCGTCTACGTAGTGGCTTGTCCACCAGAATAGACACACGAATTCGGTGAAAAGTAAGCCACGGAGCGCCCTCAAAACGGTCATCATGCCTGACAAAGGTGCCAAGAAAATTACATGCCTGCTCAAGAATGGACTGTGATGTGTACCCTGTGGGCATGTCATGTAACTGCACCCACATGTCTATCGTGTCAAGTTGGACATCTCCCGGAACCATCGGCCCTATCACCTCGCGGCATACTAAGGCATTATTCTCAAACGCCCATGGTCCTCCATTCAAAACATACTTCATATCTGTCTTATGGAAGAAAACAAACAAAAACAAACCCCTCTGAATCTCGGTCACCTGAACCCCTCTTACCAGTTGCCACACCGAGGCTAGCACCTACCGCAGGAACTCCAGTTTAACCAGCTTCTGCGTAAGAAAATGGCCAACGACCCTCCACGTCTCCACCCCACCCTCACCAGCCTCCCCGACCGCCTCAGCATCCGGCATGAACGCCGTTTCTTCCTCCTCCAACGCCCAGTCGGCCCACCGCTGTGTGATCGCATCAACGCCATCTCCCGACGTAGCCATGCCGTTGCCGTCTCGCCGTTCCTTCGTCGCCGACTATCGACCGGAGAAACTTACCACCGTGGAAAACCTAGGAAACCCTAGTAGGAAAACAAAAACCCTAGAGAGTCTAGAGAGAGAAAATCACTGTGAAACTAAATCGAAGATAATCACTATCAAAATCTATGCATTTTAATTACTCCTTACTCCCTAATCTATGATTTTTCACTTTATGTTAGTTATGGTTCCCATTATATTATTTCATTACATTCTTTATGAACATATTTTCAGTGACAGAATGATATTAGTCATGACAAATGCACTCAACTTAATTGATATTGACACACAAACTGTAGGATGGAGTTGTAAAGTTCGTGTCATTAAGAAAAACAAATCAAGGAATGTTATTAAATCGCCTGAGAAAAAGCATATGCTCATCGTCCTCAAGGATGAAACTGTAAGTAAGTAATACAAAATTTCCCCATTTCATCATCATCATCTTTTTTATTATTATTATTATTATTATTATTATTATTATTATTATTATTATCATGAATTTAGTGCTGGATTTTTATATGCAGCGAGATTATAATTATTATTGTTAATTATAATTATTATTATTATTATTATTAATAATTTATATTTATTAGACCTGTATACTTCTTTATTTACACTCAAATCAAGGTGCTTTCATTCACCATCAAGTCATCAACATCATTGTAAATGCTATATTTATATACAGGGAACTCGGGTTCAATCAAGCACGCTAATATGGAGGATGTTATCAAGCAGAAATGAGTGCAAGAGGGATCATCCGGTTCCAAGAGGCCCCAACCGGACAAATCTTTTTGATAGAATGTATTAAATGGGAATGATTTTCACATAGAAAGATGAAGAAGAGATACCATATTATCTATCTGCATACACACTTTGATAATATTTTATCATCTGCTGGCAAAGTGTCCAGTAAGTTCCCCATTTTCAAGAGTTGAGAAAAGGTTGGACATCCACTGTCCACTGATATCTACTCTTTCTAGCTATTAATGCTGCATGTAAGCAAGTCAGCACTCTGATATCTACCTCAGATATTCACAAATTTTAATATGAACAGTCTCATGTTTGTCATGTCAACATTAGTGCATAAGATGTGAACACATTCCCAATTCAATTAAAGGTAAAAATCACATGTTTATCCACACTGATAAATTCATAGTCTGAGTCTGACACAACGATTAAATCAGTAGCAAAATATTAGTAGAAACAACTATGTACATCCGTCAATCATCATCTTACTCAGAACAGATTCATGAATGAATCTATCACCCCCTAAAGACCCAAATGAATTAAACATAACACAAGAACAAGATCACAAAACTGCTCCTCTTGTGGCTGTTCCAATATTCCACCCTCTCTCCTTTTCTCTTTGGCTTTGTTTCGGTAGCCCTTCCTTTGTTACTCTTCTAGCATTACCGAGTATCACTCTATGAGCCACCCTCCTACTTCCTATAGAAATTCTAACCTTCTCCGTTCCCAAATTCAATCCTCCTCCTCTTCTGATATGTTGCATTGGGGACTTCATTTGTATTCTCTTTTGCATGCTACGTCTTAAAGCACTGTGCAGTTTCTTACTTTCAATTTGTTGATCCGTAGGACTATCCCCTGACACTGGTTCAGGTAAGCATTTGCCTTTAACATTGTCAACATCCTCGTCCTCATTTGCTTGAATTGGTGCCAATGGTAAAAATGGAGGTGGCAACTTGGCTGCCCCCCCGGTAACACTTGGCAATGGGATTAAAGAGTTGCGCCTTGGGACTGATGTAGCTGGTAATTTATGTACAGTTGGGCATAAAGAAGCTCTCCAAGCCCGTTTTGGCATTAGTAGCTCTTCAATCCCAGGGTTATTTTCCTTGTCTTCTTTTTCTGCTAGCTCATTCTGCTTAACAAGGGGATCCAGTTTGTATTTATTGTTCTCAGAAAGTGGTCGAGGGAGATTGGCTTGGTGTTTGTTCTCATCATAGGTCTTTGGAGCTAGAGTAGTTTTGGCTGCAAATGGAGGCCTTGAAGAATTTTGATCTTCATGCTGTTGTCTTAAATGTTCAGCAATTCTAGAGTCCACATGTTGCCTTGCTAGTTTCCTCTCTACTAGAAGTTGTGACTCCATTTCCTTAATCTGAAAGTGCATAAAAGCATGCATAAATTTCATCCATACCCCATTACCATAAACTTGCAAAGAATTAGGTGTTTTCATACCTTATCCTGGAGGCTCTTAACTTTAAGATCTTTCTCTTTCATCTTCATCTCTAGACCATGAACTGTGTCTTCCATCTTCTTAACTTGGAAATCTTTTGTTTTCATTTCTTGTTTATTCTTTTCAACCTGAAAAAAGAAAGATTATTTTTTAAATGTTGGAAAAATGGTTGGTATAATCAGTAGCATCATCCAAATAATTAGTGTACCATTTGTTTATATTTCAAAAGCTCTGTGTTGTCCAGTTGCTTCTTTGCTGGACCCAACTCAATCCCTCGCACTCGGCTAGCAAAATTTAAGGAGCAGAGAGTCTCACTAACGTCGTTCTCATTAGGACTGATCTGTACAAACATCAGCGTCTTTGAATCTCCTCCTGTAAATATGAATCCATAGAATAGTATTTCAACTCTTAATCCCCTTGCTTTGAAATAATGTCATTCATTTATCATGTGTCACTTAATATGTCAAACTTAAAAGAAAGATTACCTAAGGAGTCTTGGAGCAAGTGAGTCAGTTTTGAGTTTCTATAAACAATTGATAGAAGAAAGTTAAAAAAACAAAGTATAATTATAAAAATTTAAAAATAATAATTACAATTTCACCATGTCAAAAAGATATGAGGAGTACCTAAAAGGAATGTGTGGACTCTTATTTGCAAGTGCAGATATCACATCTCCAAGTGCAGAGAGTGATCTGTTTATGTTTTGTGTTTCTTTCAGCCGTTCCCCCTGAACCTCTGTCTTTGCAATTCTCTCACTCCCTGCAAGATCAATCAACCACAGCTTGCTCCTTGTACACTCCCCGTTCAACAAGTTCTCCCCTTTTACCATCACACAATGAATGCTACACACAATATCGATAGATACCTCTAATTAGTAAAACAATTGTCTGTCAAGAACAAATAAAATGAAAGATCTGTACCAATGTGATCTGCTGCTGTGCTCATTGGCGTTTGTAGATCCTACTGCCCTTGAATTGCTCCCAGTCTGCAAGACTTCCCATACCTCATTCATATTGTTTACCTGGGCCTCAACTAGTCCAGGAACATGATGCACTCCTTCACCAGCTTGCTTTATTTCAAGCCTTTGTATGGACATTATATAATCAGATCCAATTTCAGACAAATATCATGATCAAAATTAGGCAGTAGTAGTTGAACTGACAAAGTATGAAGGAAAATATGTTACCTTTTTGTGGTGGTCACCCCTGTCTGTGCTTCTGAAACCAACAAATCTCGTATTTGTTCATTATACACTTCCATGACACTGACAGATATTTCATACTGAAATGCATTGTTTCGCTCTTCAATAATGCGAAACAGTTCCTCCAGAGTTCGGTAATTGACCCCACGAGCTTCTTTTGTGCCTTCCATTGTGAAAGTCTTCCCAGTACCGGTCTGACCATATGCAAATATGCAAACATTGTATCCATCCAAAACAGATGCTGCAAATGGGGCTGTATCTTCAAATACTTCAACTATTTCCACAACATAAATAAATAAATAAGTTGGTGCACAAAAAATTGGCAGGAACAGGATAATATAAAAATAATAATTAAATGAAAAAATCAATTACCTTGTTCTGCTTGAGGACTGAAAACAGCATCAAATTTAAATGTTTTCTTAGATAGCCCATTTGATTTTACAGTTAGTTCCCCCTCCTTGGCTGCTTCAAAATCAATTGCCATTGAAGCTCCCATAGCAATCTCTTCTACATTCAAAGGCCTACAGCGACAGAAAACCCTAATGTTTCCTGAAATAGTCATCAAGTTAATTAGCTAATACAATTTTCTTTTCATCAGTATTATTTTTAATACACTGTCAATACCTTTCAACTCCAAAACCTTGTTATAAAGCTCCTTTTTTTCCTTGGCACCTTTAATAAATTTGTTCTTAAGATCTTCATGCAGTTCCCCATGTTGCTTTACTGTGAAAAAGGGTGGGAGTGCAGAAATCCATGCCCATCAATTACAAATTACAAATATTCTTAAGCACATGTAACCCATAAACTAAATTTGATAGGTAATTAAATATACTTTTTGATTGGATGAGAGAGCCCATATCGGTCATATCGGCTATGCATTGCTTAAATGACAAAGCCTCTTCTGAGAGCTTAATTTGATCCATCTTCATAATCTGTATAAGAAATTTACAGAGTGGATCAATATACAGTCAAAAGGTCTAATACAACAACGAGAAAAGAGTTTAATACCTTCATTTTTCTTGTCAGGTCTCTCAATGAGGAAAACCATTTGGTTTTTTCTTTTACTTGTCCCTCAATTGCAAAAGCTAATGATCCAACATGCATTGACTTGCGCATGAGCTCATTTTGAAGATCCTCTAAGGACTTGCATGCTTCTTGGCATTCTCTACTTTTTTGTTCATTAAGCCTTTTAAGTTCCTCCAGTTGCCTCTTTGTGTCCTCCAGTTCCTTTTCTAGACAATTATTCTCCAACTTAACCCTTTGAGGATCTCCATCTTCCTCGCCGTGATCAATGGCCTAAATACATGATATTGAAGCAATCAAGTTAACATGACATTTCCAAAAGATAAATGTTTAAATATAGAAATAAGCTTTCAACGACAACCTTCCAAGACTTGCTTTGTGGCAATTGTAAACATCCTGATATTTCATGTAATTCGACCTCTTCCGAACCTGGTAGGTCAGTTACTCGTATAACATTACTTGGAGAAGTAAGTAAATTAAATTATGCAACTTTAAATGAAAACAAACTAACACTTACCAGACTTCTTCCTTACAGAAATACCACTAATAATAGGGAGTCCTATTATTCCCTCAAATCTTATACATAATCCCTCTTCACCATTAACATGAGCCTCGAGATCAGATATCACAAGGGGTTTATTTGCACCAACACGGGCATAAATATCCAAGGAGGAGATAACCTACTCAAAATGTTCAATCAAGTATAAATTATAAAACATTGACACAGCAAAGAAGACTCACACACTGGTTAAAATTCGTTACAAGAATGGTTCCTTACCTTCTGTTCCTGTATGTAAACATCAAATACTCTCATTCCTGGAGGACCATTGGTTAACACAATCTCTGCAAAGTGCAGATCAACCAAGTAATATCCAGCATCCATGATCTCAAAGTTATATAACAAATTCCCAAACCGAGCAGACTGGTATAGACCACTGGCTCCATCTCCAACTATAGCGTCAGTCCTAATAGTATCACCTCCAGTAAAAAACTCGTCGTTTGAAAACTGTGTGTCCCCTTGGAAGTTGATACAATCTGTTGATCCAACATTAATGCTAACTATAGACCTCAAGTGGGCTGGTGAAAACTCTTCCATCACTGGTGGTGGCGGAAGCTCAAATTCATCTTTTGATACAGAAAGGAAAGTTGAGAACTTGGCAGACGCAGGGGTATCATTAGAGTCCTTAATTTCAGACCCCTTTATCCCATTCTCTAAAGACACTTCAATTGAGCTACCCTTGAAAATTTCGGGTGATTCTCCATAGCTTTGTTTTGGAATTTCCGGTGACTCAGCACAGATCATCAAATCAGGAGATGTTAATGAAAATTCCAAAATCTCCATACCTAATTAAGGCCAATATAATAATAATCCTTATCAGTGCAAAATAATGAAAAACCAAAATATCTCAAAAACATCCCAACAGCATTGAAATTCCTTCCACCCCTTGCATTTCCACAATTGGGTCAGTACAACTATTGTCTAAGACCCTTCTTTCTATATCAAGCATCAACCAATAATAAAATCCTCAATATTAACTCATAAGTCATAAGAACTAAATCCAAATCCAAATAATAATAGTCTTCAAACTACAAGCATTGGGGAAAAGAACTGTAATTACCAAGCACTTGTGAAGTTGTTACATCAGGAGATGTGGGATAAGGGCCTATGAAAATCAAATAAATAGGAGAAAAATAAGAATAAATCAATCCAATAAAATAATTATCAATATCAAAGTTAAGAATTTTGAAAACCACAGCTTTATGAAAATAAAAATTGAACAGTTTTCAAACTCCTACCTTCCATTATGCTTTCCAAAACTGGGTCAGTATAAATATCCTCTAGGATCTCGTCTACATCAACCGGACAATAAAACTCTTCAGCATTAAAGAATAACCCATCCCCACCACCAAAATGGAGTACCAAAAAAAAAAGGTTTTTAAAAAACTACAATTACCTTGCATTGGGGAATCTAGTAAATCAGGAAATGTGGGAGCAGGGCCTATGAAAACCATAAAAAGATGATAGAAAATGAGATCGAACTGAAGATCCATACAGAATATCGAACCCGATATCAAGATTTGAAGCTGGGAGTGAGTGCGAGATGCTTACACGAAGTGTATGAGCTGAATTGTTGCTGTTGTTGAGAAGAAACGTCAGTGAGAAGAAGAGGGTCTTGCCAAGAATGACGATAGAGATCTTCCATTGATTAAAAAAGAGGTGAGCTTCTTCTCTATGGAGTTCACTTTGAAATGCAATGAGTAGTGATAGCGACAAAGATTAAAAGAAGAAAGGGGATTCAATGCTTTTCAATTTGGGTTGAGAGAGATTGAGATTGGTTTGAGAGAGAAGCAATTCGCCGTTACGATGGGAAAGTCTACCAACGGTCGTTTTGAAATTTGAAATTGGGAGCCGGGCCAATTGGAAACTATATTCTATAGATGGAAAGAAACATAGAGTAATTAACTTTACCACGAGAATTATACAGAAAAGCTTCCACGTGTTCAGTCAATATAAATTAAATACACCCAGGTAAATTTCAAATTTTAACTTTACCTCATTTCCATTTTACAAGGTGTTTGGTACATGAAAATTGTAATTCCATTCCCTTGTAATTCATGAAATTTAAAATTTTGTCCGCATTAGCCGCTCAAGTCGTCATAGATGTAAAAGTTGGAAAGAATTATTAGGGATCGAGTCTCACTGACTACAGTGTGGGAGCAATTTCTCAACGTGAAGGATTTGTGGTTCATGTTCATGACAGATACTTTGACGAGTCGGGTGTGGGGAGCATTGAGGTTCACTGAGGTTCAACTTTTTGGAAAGAATGAAATTTACAATTCTATGGAATTGCAAATCTTAGGCGCTTCCAAAATTGAAATTTCATTGACAACTTTGTCATTATTATTGTTACACAAGACATTTTAATTTTTATATCACTTCTTCGCTTTCGATTTCCAATAATTCTATTCTTTTCTACGAAACAATTGAATTTGAATTATTAATTTATTTTCACATTATTCTTTACCCACGGAATTACAATCCCCCTAATTCTCTCCTTGCAAGTAAGGGCCCCCGTAAACTTTGTTTGGCATACCTAGATTACAAATTAAAAGTTAATAATTAGTCGGATTCTAAAGATATCTCCAATTGTGAAAATTAAAGGGGAGAAAAGGGGGAGAAAGGAAATAAACATGGTTGGAAGGGAAAAAACCTCCCCTTTTTTTTTTGGTGGTTTTCAATCGCGCCGCTTTAATATTTAGGGTGTGTTTGGTTGATGGGTTTTGTTAATAGGAACGGGTATAAAAGTGATTGTTATTGTTTGGTTGATAGATTTTTAGAATACAATTATGGATTTCAAATACCCCATCAATCAAAATATTCATACACAAATAAAATAAGGGTTTCAGTCCCTTATTTATTCTCAAGCATTACTATTAGTAACCATTTTCATTCTACCCTACTACTAAACATGTTAAATACTTTTACCAAAACTCATTATCATTACCAAGTATTTGATAGAGTAAATACCCAAAATGGTCCCTCGACTATAGCTAAATTCACAAATTGGTCCTCGACTTTCAATTTCAACCAATTAAGTCCTTAACTTTGTAATTTTGACACGACTTGGTCCTTCATCTATTTGACCGTTTGTTGACCGTGATCGGCGATCTCCAGAAGAACCTTCAGCTCTCGTCGAAGCACGTGGAGGCCTCCAGGATGACGTTGTACTGGTTCGGAAACACGTCGTCTTCTTCGCTCTGATACGAACTCAACTACATTGAATCCAAAGGGAGGACGAAGAAAGGCGATCGGATTTGGTAGATTGCTTTCGACAGTGGATTCAAATGTAACAGTGCGGTCTGGAAATGCAACTAGAACCTTAAAAAACCGACGATGGACCATGAAATTACATATATATCCTCAAAAATCACAGTCAACAAACGGTCAAATAGACAGAGGACCAAATTGTGTTAAAATTACAAAGTTAATGACTTAATTGGTTGAAATTGAAAGTCGATGACCAATTTATGAACTTAGCTATAGTCGAGGGACCATTTTGAGTATTTACTCTATTTGATACCTATTCCGATTCGGATTCCCTATACGAACCAAACACACCCTTAGTTCTTTTATTCTATTTTTAATTTGTTTATCTGAATTTGTTTTTAAGCTTTTTAATTGTATTAATTGTGGTTATATATGATATTTAATTTAAAATGTTCTACTCGATTCAGAATATTAATAGGCGATTTGAAGGTGAATATTAATTTATTAAATTATTTTTTGAATAGTTTATGAAATTATATCTTATAATTCAAATAATATTTTATTTTTTATTTAAATTTAGTTTAATTTAAAATCAAAATTGTAATTATAAAGTTAAATTATTAATTAGAGCAATTCGAGTTTGTGCTTAGTTTGTTAGGAAGAAAAAATTAAATGTGTTGTTTTTGTACAAATGGAAGATCGAGTTTTTTTATGAATTTGTCTCCTGCAAGTTTAAAACTTTTGTGAGGTCTATTGGTTGAGAAAAGGAAATAAAACAGGTTATATATATATATATATATATATATATATATATATATATATATATATATATATATATATTGGTGAATAAAGAGAGGCTATGCCTTAGAGTTTATAATTCTTCTAATTAATGAGAGTTCCTCCTGCATCACGAGCTAGAAGGGGAGTCAGACCATCCATTACTTCAGTGAACACCCAAGTGCCCCAATCTTGTTTGAAGACAATTCCCTCAAATCTATAGAGGAGAAGGCTTGGAGAGGAAATTAAAAGGTGATAAATAAAAATTGGACCTACAAAATGGATAAATAAGAGGAAAACCATCGATATCATGAGGAATCTCAGTCAGATTATGAGAGATTTTAAATCAATTAATTGTGATTTTAAATCAATTAATTGTGATTAAAAGTGTTTGATAAAATTAAATATTAATATGCTAATAAATGTAAAAATGAAAATGAATATTTTTACAATTGTTATATATATATATTCAAATCTAGCTAATAGGTATGTGTATTGTAATATAGGGTTTTAAAATACAATTTAGCATCTCATAATAAAGTAGCAATGTTGTTGTGAATCTCATACATTTCACTAGATGTCTCACTTAAATTTTGATTTTTGTGACTCATGTCATCTTATTCGTTCTTTCAAATATAATTATGAAATGCAAGTGTAAAAATAAAATTATTTAGGATCTATACACTAAATTGTGTCACTTTACTAAGTATCTTTCATCTTTCCTTAACACTTCATATAAAAGTTTAGGGTCCGTATACCAATAGAAAACTGTTCTTTGTTTTATATTTTCTAAATTTTCAATTTTCATTTTCTATTTTCCATTCTCTATTTTCTGTTCTCTATTTTTTGTTTAGAAAACTTGTTTAATTTGTCAGCTTTCATTTTCTATTTTTCATTCTCTATTTTCTATTTAGAAAACTTGTTTAATTTGTCAGCTTTCATTTTCTATTTTTCATTCTCTATTTTCTATTTAGAAAACTTGTTTAATTTGTCAGTTTTCATTTTCTATTTTTCATTCTCTATTTTCTATTTAGAAAACTTGTTTAATTTGTCAGTTTTCATTTTCTATTTTTCATTCTCTATTTTCTATTTAGAAAACTTGTTTAATTTGTCAGTTTTCATTTTCTATTTTCTGTTCAGAAAACTTGTATTTTATATTTTTTGTTTAGAAAACTTGTTTACTAACTGAATATTGTTCTCTGTTTTCTATTTTTTAATTTTTCAGTTTCACCTAAAATTTAGTTTAGATAATATTAATATTTTACTTTGAATGACATGTATATGAATATATAACTTTTACTTTGAATTCTAATATATGTGAAATTTCAATATTCGATATCTGGACCGAACTTGTATTATGATGTAACATAATTAAAAATGTTCGAACTAATAATCTATTGAGTTCAATCAAAATCTAAACATTATATCGAGTTTAATTCTTAATTTTGATAATGTAAATAATGTCTAACTTAAAGTGTAAGTAAATAAATTATGTTTAAATAAGTAAAGTAAGTAGAAAAGATAAAAAATAGTGATAAGTAAAATAAGATGATAATGAATGTAATCATAGTAATGTAGTTATAGTGACATGTAACTGAATAGATGATTATGTTTTCCATTTCGAAAACAGTTTTATAGTGAAACTAGATAGATGATAGATGATTTTGTTTTTCATTTCGAAAACAGTTATTAAGTGTGTTTCAGTTTTTCAAGAAGTTATTTTCAATTTTCAAAATTGAAAACTGTGTTAGTAAACATGTTTTAGTAAATGGCCCCTTAACACTTCATATAAGAGTTAATATCCAAAATGGTCCTGATGTACTATAGTAATTTTTATATTTTTGCCCAATGTAATCATTCGTTTGTTATTTCGTCAAATTTATGTTAAATAGAGATTCAGTTCTCACTCTTTTTTTATGAATGGTACAAGTAATCCGTAAATAAATTAGTGGGTCGTAATGCATAAAAGAGTTGTATTAAAATTACTGGAACAATATATATATAAAGTGCATGACTTGATGGTACATTATCAAGTAAATTTTATATTGTGCACCCTCCAATAACAGGGAGGATATAGAGATGAGAGAAGTAGCCAACCCTAGGTGCTAGCTAGTACACAAAACAAGCATGCATCCACTCTATAAAGAAAATGGGGCAAATTCTTTCATATATGCTGTCAGCAAATCATATACGAATATCGTTCAAGACCTTCAGGGCATTCTCCAGAATGCCCCTTACCTCTGCCATTTTCAACTCTTTTTGGCTCAGCGCAGTCTTTAACCCCTCAATCGTCCCTTCCATCTCCTCCATAGTGAGACTCAGCTTCATCACCGTGACGCGCAGCGCCGCATTCTCTCTTTCCACTGTCTTCACCCTATCCTCCATGTTTTCGTTCTCGTTCTCGTTGAATGCCGCCATAACCAGATCGATCCAATTCTGAGTTTTTAGGTGAAGTAAGAATTCGAGTTGCGATTTTATAGGTCGTTGAAACGCCGTAGCCTTGTGAAGGTATAGTAGAGCTTAGCAACAGAGTTTACGTAAAATGTGGCGATTTTATAGGTGGTGTCCGGTGGACAATTCATGAGTTGGACCCGACCCGTATTACTACGAGAACGCCCATCCTTCACAGTTCAAATTGTTTCCGTCTGCACCTTTTCTGCTCATACCAACAATTCCTTCCACTACCACTCTCATATCTTTCAGACATTCTTATTGAAGTTTATGATAGATTTAATAAGTTATCTTGAGGTCATAATGCATCTACCCCTACTAATTTAAATATAATAACCACTAATATTGGTAAAGTTATAACGACAATAAAAATTATGTTAGTGTAATAATGTGAATTGATAAGATATTTGTAAAATTATCATCTTTTATTTTTTTTTACATGTATAAACTTTAGTAACATAATATTTCGTTGAATATTATTATTAAGGGTAATTCTACATGAACTCCCAAATTGTACTTCAATTTTTTACTCCATATGACATGACATGCCTTATTATTTATGTCATGTTTGGCAAAATGACTGTTAATTGATAGCTGTTAGCTGATTGTGTTAATTAGAGGGTATAAATAGTTGATGACATTAGTTGATTGTAAAAAAATGTTCGGTAAATTAACTGTTAGTTGATAACTGTTTGGTATACTTTCTTTTCTCAAAAAGCTAATGAAAAAATTATTTGAATAACTTTTTGAATTTTAGCATTATGAAGTTGCAAAAAGCTAATTAACCAAATTTTTAAAGTTCATAAAAATCTTTAAAATTTTATGAAAGTTATGATTGAATACACCTCCAAGTATTTTTGTTTACCAAATTGGTGTCTCGTACCAGTGCACTTGAACGCACCGAATCATTTGACCGCTCGACAAAATATAGCATCGAAACGGGTGCAAATATAGAAGCAATTTCGTCCAACCCGACTTTTACCCCGCAAACGGAAAAAACCAGTCGAGAGGGAGGAAGAGAAACACACACAGTGACACACAGAATGATGAAGGAAGAAGCCATAAGCTCCTCCGGCGATCCTCTGCTGCCACCCAAGTCTTCCTCTCCTCCGCCTACCCCCACTCCCGCTGCTAGGTAATCCCAATCCCCATCGGAACAACAAAAACCCTAGGTTACGTTTCTATCTACTCATTCTGTGTTGCTCTCCATCCCATTCTGGGGCTTTCGCCATTCCATAACCGAATTTTCGGTTATTTGTTTATAATCTTTGTAATGCTGCTTTTCTTTGTTCACACTTTGTCATTATTTCGCGTTAAGCTTATTCATTTGTTTACCTCTTCGATTATAAAACTTACAATCGAGTCTCGGGTTTTTAATTTTTAATTTTTCTTTTTCGAAACTAATTGTTTTAATTAATGAAATCGCATGATTCTGCTAGCCACAAACCTGTAATTCGTAAATGAGATGACAGCGTATTAGGAAAATTGAAAGGATTTTTTTGCTAGGGAAGCTGAGGTTTGAAATGGCTGGCAATGGTATTACTGTAGTGTAGTTATTTGAGGATAAAATTGTGCATTTGCTGCTGTTTGTTTTACATATGGGTGAGGTGATTTTAATCTATTTATCTCTTCCCTGTATGACAATAAGGTTGTGGCTACGGAATCATGAATTTCCCTGGGCTAAGGCAAACAAAAAGTGAAGTAAAGATGGGATAGTCCGATAGTTAGAGAACAATTGGTCAAATTGTTTGACTTTTCCAAATATTTTAACCACTTGACTGATAAGTAGTTTAATAGATTGTATTACTTCTTGTCAGTTCTGCAGGGGCATCTTCTCCTACTGTTCCAGTAAATGTTGGCAGCACAGACTGGGCAGCACAGGGCTCAAAAGCAGGCTCTGTTTCCCGTGTTGGGTTACAGCGCATAGGGACTTCTTTGAGTACCAGTGCTGGTGGTTCTGCTCTTGGATCATCACAGCCTTCGTGTAGACCCTGGGAAAGGGGTGATCTATTGAGACGGCTCTCAACATTCAAACCCACAGACTGGCTTGGAAAGCCTAAGGTTTAAATCTGGGCCTCTATTTATTATCATAATACATCAAGGTTACTTAAAAATCTTTTATTGGTTCTTTTGTTTGTGGATCCACTTCTCCATCAATATTTACATTATGGCGCTACTTCAAGATAGTTTTGAAGTTGGGGACTTGGGGGACATAGACAACTATATTTCTTAGATGATTATGCACAGGCAGGGGACTAGCCACAGAAGAGCAAGGCCAATTAATTACTTAGAACTTTGTGTTGCCCCAGAATTTATTACTTAGCATTCAAAATAAGAATTTGTATTCCTCTTAATTCTAGGACATCCTTAATGTCTTTAGTGCATTTATTTTTTATTCCTCTTAATTCTAGGACATCCTTAATGTCTTTAGTGCATTTATTTTTTATTCCTCTTAATTCTAGTTCATCCTTAATGTCTTTTGTGGCTTTTTTTTATTCGTCTTAAGTCTAGTACATTGCTAATAGCTTTAGTGACATTTATTTTCCCTTCGGAAAAAGAGAGTTTACAGATAATGGTGCTGGGTTGTGTCTTTTTCTGACTGGTCAATTTCCATTTAATTTTTATCCTCACTTAGAAATCAACAGGAAAGATACTCTTCGATAATAGACATGAATTCCACTAGCTAAAAGGAAGCTAGGGCTAGGTGAATTTTACTATCTCCTTTATGATGAATGGACTTTCTTTTTCAAGCATTATGCCTCAGTGATGCTGTTTGCCCTTGCTGCACCGTCTATTATAGTATTATCTTCATTTATTTATTTAGTTACTTCTTGTTTTTCTTGTATTTCTGTGTTAAATCATTTTTGTCACAAATGTTTTGTGCTAAAATAGTTAGCTTTACATAATTTTAAGTGGACTGGAGGTTTCTTTGGCAGGCTGCAGGTTCTATGGCTTGTGCCAGAAGGGGCTGGATAAATGTGGATGCTGATAAGATTGAATGCGAGTCATGTGGTGCAAATCTCAAATTTATTTCCTCAGCTACCTGGACTCCTTCTGAAGGTGGCTTGTGCTTTATATTATTTCGGCATTTTATAGCTGTTTGTTATTCTTATTTCATAGTTAGCAATCAGATTTTTTTATACTGTTAAGACCCTTCTATATATATCTAGTGTACATTACTACTAGAATAGTATAGTATATTAGTATTCACCATTCAGAGTAATTAACAGCTAGGGGAAAGTTTTCTGATAACCTTTAGAGTTGGAACTGAAAAACCTAAAGATATAAAATCCATCCTATATGTCAAACAAGGGATACGGGATGCCCTATGCCCATTTCTCTGTCTCTAGTATCTTGATTTCTACCTTTAGAGCATGCCAAGATTTATCTTGATATTGTCCAGGCCAAGAGTGTTTAGGCCTAGTTTAGTGGGGTTTTTAGTAGAAATAATGCTAATTGTACTAAGTTTGGTATATGCTTGTGGTTTGCAGGTATCTATATACAATAAGTTGCTAGATGTTATGCTTTCAGTTTCCTCTTTATAATGACCAAATATTACTCAGAATTTTAAGAAGAAAGAAATAAAGAAAATGCATGTTAGAGCTGTGAGAGATGTTTTTCCTTCACCAAATGGTTTCCTCTCTCTCTCTCTAAAATTTCTAATTATCCTTTGTGTCCATAAAGTTCAGGGGCTAATTTAATTATGAGTTAACTGTTAACCTTAACATTTCTTTTTACCATATGAATAGTGGTTAGCGACTCGGATAAAATATTTTAATAGTTCAGTTGTTTATAATTTTATTTCTTAAGTTTAGGTGATGTAGGTGCACATTTCCCTACATTAAAAAGGTTGTTTTATCATTTATGTATGCCAACTGCTTAACTTCAGAGAATTGTAAGTCTGTAACCTGATGCTCATGGAAATTCCCTTTGATAATTGTGAGCTTTTGCAACTAGGATATCTGGTGTAACCAAGTGCACCTCATTTTGAGTTTGTACTGTCTATGACAATTATGCAGCAATTTTTGCCCTTGTTACCTTTTTTTTGAACCTTAATAAGACTTTGCTGCATGCCTGTTATACCTTTTGTTCTAATAAATAGGTTATCCTTTGTAGCTGATGTTGCTGGTGAAGATTTTGCAAAAAAACTTGATGAAGGGCATAAAATCACTTGTCCATGGAGGGGAAATAGCTGTGCAGAAAGCTTGGTCCAGTTCCCCCCTACTCCACCTTCTGCCCTAATTGGTGGTTATAAGGATCGTGCTGATGGATTACTTCAGTTCCCTTCCCTCCCTATTGTGGCTGCATCTGCAATTGAGCATATGCGAGTTTCTAGAGGTTCAGAAATTGATTCTTTTCTAGCTCAATCACAGGGTTTTGGAGGTGTTGAACCTTTCTTTAGGCCAGAGGTTATGTCTGGAGCTGAGAACACCAGAGAAGATGCTTTCTTTATATACTCTCGTGTAAGATTGCCATGCTTTCAACTACTACTGATTTCCCTTTCTATATTTCATTTCTAAACCTTTTTTCAACTTTTCATTAAAACTTAGGCTCAGAAGCTGATAAGCCTTTGTGGATGGGAGCCAAGGTGGCTTCGAAATGTCCAAGACTGTGAAGAATACTCAGCTCAGTCGGCTAGGAATGGATGTTCAACAAGTCCGACAAAAAATCATGGTCCTCCACAAGATCTTGGCCGTGGCAAGAAGGTACTGTCTTGTTCAAAGAAAAGGGATACTGTTAAAAATGAAGTTGTGTGCCCCATGTCAAAAGGTGAATCTAGGTCACCTTTGTTGGATTGTAGTTTGTGTGGAGCTACAGTGAGAATCTTGGACTTCCTTACTGTTACTCGTCCTGCTTGCTTTGCTCCCAATAGCATTGATATCCCTGAAACAAGCAAAAAGATGGCATTAACACGAGGAGTAAGTGCTGCCAGTGGAATAAGTGGGTGGGTTGCTACTGATGGTATGGAAAAGGAGCAGACAGAGGACCATGATGAAGCAGCAACAGATGAGGGAAGGTCATTGTCGAATAATGGTGTGGATCTGAATCTTACAATGGCAGGTGGGCTGTCCTGCTCACAACTACGCAAGAGTTTAGGTCCTGACCAGTTTCAAGATGTGCATAAGAGAAGAGATCCAATGATTGGACAGCCTTCTAGCAGTGAGGTTGGTGACCGTGCGGCTTCATACGAGTCTCGTGGTCCTAGTTCTAACAAGCGTCATTTAGAGGAACATGGAAGCACTGCTGACAGGCCACAATTGGTAGTACAACAAGCGGACAGCGTTGAGGGAACTGTAATAGACCGTGATGGAGATGAAGTCAATGATGACAGTCAGTACTCAGCTGGTCCTTCAAAACGCCCCCGTGAGTCAGATCCTCTAGAAATTCATCACTCATCATATGGGAAAAATGCAGCTGGTGCTGGTCCTAGCTTGTCACTTGGTATTGAGGTTGGAACAGATGGCCAAAGAGATGATCCTTTCAACCAAGGTCATGAACAGGTGATTGGTTTCCCAGCTACAAGAGATTCAACACATGTTTCATCTGTTATTGCTATGGACACATTTCATTGTGCAGATGATGATTCAATGGAAAGTGTTGAAAATTATCCAGCAGATGTTGGTGATATTGAATTCCCTTCAACATCAGGTGTAAAAAGCACGGATCCATTTGAGGTGTCTGAGTTAAACTATAGCAATCAAGCACAGCAGAGTGCTTGTCCTGCTGCTATTAGGAGTGCTGGTGAAATTGGTGTTAGTAGCACAAATGATGAGGAAGTTTTAAATGCAGATACTGCAACTGCTCATGCTAGGGACGGCCTTAGTTTTGGGATTAGTGGAGGAAGTATAGGAATGGGAGCTAGCCATGAAGCTGAAATTCATGGGATGGATGCTTCTGTGCATAGAGCTGATAGTGTTGTTGGTGATGTGGAACCAATTGCTGAAATCACTGAAAACGAAGGTCAAACCGGTGAATTTGGTCCTGATCCTGGACTGATGGGTGACTATGTTCCAGAGGAAATGGACCGGGAGGATCCTAATGGTGATAGTCAAGATCTAACATCTCGCTCTGTGGGAAGAGCTGATAGTGGTTCAAAAATTCTTGGCTCAGCCAAGGCAGAATCCATCGAAAGTGCTGAGAAGACCAGCCATGGTCCCTCTACACCCAATAATAGTGCACATCCCTCTCTTTCTTGCAATGCTATTTTATTGTCTGTGCATGAGGCATCAAAGGAAGAAGTTACCCAGGATGCCCAGGTTGCCCAGGTTGCCAATGCACTGACTACTGAAGATGGTGGATATGTGGTGGAGTCAGGCTTCTTGGTTGCAAAGGGGACAGGTAATGGTATCTCTGCTGTTCTGTTTGCCCAACTCTTGTCTTCACCTCCATGCAAGATATTTACAGGTTGTAAGAAGTGTTGATAATGATGCATAATAAACCTCAAGTCTGATTTATTTTATGTTTATTAAATTTCCTCCACTCAATATTAAGAAGTAATGTTTTAAACTAATATTCACTTTTCTTAGATATAAGACATTTCATTGGCAGTGTGGGCGTCATATTTTGACAAGTGATTTTCATAACTTGGGGTTATGTAGCACTGTAGCCTATAATGACACCACAGCTTGTTATAATGGAATGTTTGATAGGTCATTGTAGTTCATGATTTAAATGATACTATTAGTGATGAATTAGCCATATTTTTTTCCCAAGCTCATTAGTATGTGTCCTTTTCTCAATTTCTTGGCTTCAGTTAAATATTTTCACTTTAATTTTATTAATTAAATAGAAAGTGTTCTTCAGGGCCTTCCAATGGGGAAAGTGGTTATAAAGAAGCTGTTGAGTTTGACCCAGTTAACCATCATAACCCTTTCTGCCCTTGGGTCAATGGAAATGTTGCTGCAGCTGGCTGCACCAGTAGTAGTGGTTCCAGTTCCAGTGCTGGTGCTCTTGCTCTTTGTGGTTGGCAGCTAACTTTAGATGCTTTGGATTCTTTGTCGCTTGGAAATGTTCCAATCCAAACTGTGGAGTCCGAATCAGCTGCTTCTTTGTATAAGGTATACAAATCTATTCTATGCTTAATAATATACATATCTATAGTTACCTTGGATTTATTCAATTCCTTTGAGATGGTAATCATTGAGCTGGATGCCTTACTGGTGCACTCCTGCTAAAAGTGGGTTACATTAAGCTATTGTTAAGATCCATTTCCCTAGTTGCTGGCTTCATGTGTAAGAGCTTCTTCTTTAATGTTTGAGTTCAAAGAATGTTCTATAAATTTCATTCAAGTTTCTTTTCTGGACTAAGAAAAATTCTATCAGCTTTCTGTCATTTGGTCCTTTGAAGTTGCCATTGTTGCAATTGGATTGCCATATTTAACTTTCTTTTGCAGGATGATCATCGATCTGCTGGTCGGAAACTCTTGGCACGAAACTCATTTAGCAAAAGTCGTGGAGGGAATTAACAGTGAATTATAAGTGAGTTAAAACCTGGTAATTTGTATGTGTTATTATGATATCTCTTAATTCCATAAACAAGTGTGCACGTTTTGAAATTATATTAATGGGCTACCTGAACCAGAATTTTCTGGATATAATTTAAATGAATCTTGCTAGGCCCCTTCCATTTTTCACCGCATTTGTTTTTGCCGCCTGATTGTGGAAATGCTTCCCACCAATAGAAATGCTTTGACTATTCAACCTTTTTAATTTAGTGGGCCCTTTTAACTTAGTAATATGGAGGGATGTTAGCAAGTGAAAAAATGAGGGAAATAATCATTTTCCAATTTAAATTTGGGTCTAATATGCTTTTACCATTCACTTAATATAAGCTGTGTGCTTCCACAAGTCTTTTCTTGTTGATTGCATATTTCTATTATTAAAGTTGAAGCTTAGTGGATTTTTTTTAGGTGTTTAATATATGTGAGAAAACCTTAACATTTAAACTCCAGATAATAAGGTTTATGCTTCTGTGAAACAGAAAATATTGTTATTCATTCTTCTTTCAGTCTTTTTAAGGAAAAGGATAAGAAGCAATAATAGGATTATGGAAAATTTTTAGAAATACTAAAAAATGTCTTGGCCTGCAGATTTCAGATAGCCTGTCAACTAAGAGCCAATGCATATCATCGTTTCACAGAAAATAATTTTATTCATTTTGTTTTGTTTTGTTTTCAGTCTTTTAAGAAAAAGGGTAAGAAGCAATAAAGGGATTATGGAAAAATTATAGAAATACTAAAAAATGACTTTGGCCTGTAGATTTCAGATAGCTTGTCAGTGTCAACCAAGAGCCAATGCATATCATTTTGCTTACAAGTAGTTGCATCCTGTTGCCTTGCCTCTAATCAAACTTGACATATTACACATTCATTGGTTTGCATTCAGGGTTTTATAGGTCTATAATGCAAGCTGCCCAATCAAGTGGTCTCAGTTTGTGTGAGATCCTGAATTGTTGAACCATTTGATGATTCCTTGAGATGTTCCATTGAGCCAGAAGACTTTTCTTTTACTTAAAATATTGTTTCGGTTATAGCTTCGCTTATGAAGCTGTTTTGTGTTAGCTGTTATGTTTCTGGAGATGCCAAGGTATTTGTGGGTGTAACTCTTATTCACCGCAATTCCTTGCTCTTGCTTTTCTTGTTTTTACAGTATAAATGATAATAAGACCTTGTAGTATGGCAATGCCAATTTAGCTATGTTCTAGCTAGTGAGTTGGAAATTGTCTACAAGACCAATCTGTATTTATTTGCTTATTATGTTATTTGATAGGAACATTAAGAATCTCTTATACTTGATTTTATAGAGTATCATAAATTCAATGTTTGGAATTTCCATTTAATTTCTAATATATGAAGTCGATGACTAATATTTAATGCACAAACGGTGCATGCTGTATTATATATTATCGTCTTCGGCCAGAGACAAAGAAACTCCTTCGTCTCACGCGTGGAGACGAAGAGCTTTTTCTTCTTCTCCATTCTTCATCTCCATGCCGGAGATGAAGAGAGTCGTCTCGGCCAGAGACAAAGAAACTTCTTCGTCTCCCGCATGGAGATGAAGAGCTTTTTCTTCGTCTCCATTCTTCATCTCCATGCTGGAGATGAAGAGAGGGAGGGGTGTGTTTTTTTTTTTTGGTTATTTTTATTTTGTTTAATTAAAATTATAAAAATAAATTTAATTTTTTTTTTTAATAGGGTGATCATCCGTTCATCACATCAGTGTGATGACTTGAGGAATGTTAAATTGTATAATTTTGGACAATTCAAAGATGTAATTATACTACGGAGTATTATTTTTTGAGTTAGATAATTTTTTTTTTTTTTTTTTTTTTTTTGTGTGTAGTTGGCTAATTTAAACTTTTTTTTTTAAATTAATAAATGATTATTTGTTAATAAGTGATTACCCATAATATTTAAGGAGTATTAGATATGGTAGTGTACTATAATTAGGGGACGTAAGTTACAAATAATTTGAAGAATCATCGAAATATTTTATTAACAATTTTTAATAGGGAAAATGCCACTTTTTCTCCCTGAGTTATATACCTATAGCATTTTTGCCCCCTAAATTATTGAAGTGGCTGTTTTCCCCCCTGAAATGTTAAATGGACATATTTACCCTTCAACTAAATATTTAATTTATTTTTTTTCTCCAACAAATTATGACCATAATTTGGTTCAAACCAAACAAACACTATAGCAACCAAACCGAAATATTCCAATTACAATTTAGAATCGTAATCCGATATTTAGAGTTTATTAAAATCGTGAACCAGAACGGACGGTTCATGTTCCGAACTGAAAAAATAAAATACATATATTGTTGAATTTATACTATTTTAAAATAAAAAATAAAATTTTAAAATAAAGACGGTTCAAAATCGTGAATCGGATCTAGAACCGCCGGTTCACGGTTCAAGATTCAATTTTTTTGATACATAATTTTAATAAATTGACATTTAAATATTGGATTCTAGATCTGAATTATAACCGAAAACTATTAATTCGATTGCTATAGTATCCGGTTCAATTCAAACCGAACCGTGGTCATCCCTACGTATACGCAATAATTTGTTGGAGAAGTAAAATAAATAAAATATTTACTTTAAGGGTATAAATGTCAATTAAATATATCAGGGGAGAAAAAGCACCACTTTTAGAATAACTGAGGGGGCTAATGTGTTTACCTAAATAATTGAGGGGAAAAAAGTGCTATAAGTATATAACTCAGGGGTAAAAAGTGCCATTTTCCCATTTTAATATCAAAATAACAATTATTCAAAAATTTATACGAAAATAGTAATTTTTTCAAAACAAAATTAGACAAAATTGTATGATTAGAAAATCAAGAAAAAAGAGTCAAATATGTCATTGAATAAGAGATCAAAGTCTAATTGAGTCACTAAATAAAAAAAAGAGCTCAATTAAACCACTTAACATTCAAAAGTCATTTAAAAAAAAAAAATTAGGTTATCTCAGTTTTGTTAAACTAATTCTAAGTCCACAAAATCCTATTCTTAGAGTCACTGTAGATGTAAATCGTGAGACACTCAATCATTTCACCGGTCATATCATATTTTTTATGTGCGCACAAGGGTTCCAATCTAGACCTTCCAACATTATTGAGTTATTTTTAGATTTTAAGTCATTCAATTTTTTCATTTAACCTATTGTTTTAGGTTCATGCATGGTTAAATATGAATTGTTGGCATATGATATGGAAATACTTTATTTTATTGATTGCTAGTGAAATAAAATCTCATGAACCACTCAAAATTTAATATGCATGAACCTGGAGCGATTTAGATTCATATGAGAACCTATATTAAAATGTGAACTTGAGAATCAATCTAAGGCTTTTATCTAGATTAGTCGACAGTGCATATCTATAACACAATGCACAGTTGCACACACATAGTGCATTGCAAACACAATGCACATATATTGTTCACTGCGTCCTTGGGTTGACTTTTTCCGTACATCATGTTCTAGACCGTTGGATGATGCAACATCAAGGGTGTGCAAATATTCTCAAGTTCACACAATAAGATAGGCTCTCACATGAAGATAAATCAATCCGGAGCTACTAATATATAAAAAAAAAAATTAGATTATTTTTTAATGTTGAGTGATTTAATTAATTATTATTTTTTTAGTAATTTGGTGACTCAATCGGACTTTGTTCTATTTGATCCTTTTTACAAAAATAAAATAGAAAATTTCAATTTTGGTCCACTGACTATTGGGTTGTGTTAATTGCAACACTTGATTTTCAAAAATATTAATTTAGTACCTTGACTATGCAATTTCTATCAATTTTGGTCACGCCGGCCAAATTGCCGGCCAAATCTCACCGGACAAATTTAATAGGTCAATTTATGAGGGTATTTTAGTAATTTTACTCCTCTTTTTTCTTCTCCAATGATATTCCCAATTTCCGGCGATGACTTCTTTCTTCTCCGATGTGCAAGATTGTCTTCGCCATCTAAGATAGGCTCTCACATGAAGATAAATCAATCCGGAGCTACTAATATATAAAAAAATTAGATTATTTTTTAATGTTGAGTGATTTAATTAATTATTATTTTTTTAATAATTTGGTGACTCAATCGGACTTTGTGCTATTGACAAATTATATTATGCACCGCGGTGCATAATCGATTATGCACCGCGCGTCTTTTTTTAAATGAAAATTAACAGTGTTTATTTCCGCCGTTTCGCACCCTTTTACAAAAAGTAACTCTGTTATTCAGTGTCATTTTGTATACACTACAGTTTCAGTTGAACACAACTACAGTTTCATTTCGATATAACTATAGTTTCATTCGATATTTATAGACTCAAATATGTGAAAATGTTATTTAATTTTATTTTATATACACTATAGTTTTATTAAAACACAACTACATGATCATTTTGATATAATTACAGCTTCATTGTACAATATACACTCAAATATGTGAAATGTTATTCAGTTTCAGTTTATATACACTGCAGTTTCATTTCACTATAACTACAGTATCATTTTGATATAACTACATTGTCGGTTTGGATATACTGTAGTGTCAGTTGGTGTTTAATACACCAAACAAACGGACTCCGTTAACTCTAACGGCGGGCCGTTTCTTTACTTAAAGAAACGGCGCCGTATATGAGCCACGGTGCATAATCGATTATGCACCGCGGTCTATAATATAACAACTGTGTTCTATTTGATCCTTTTTACCAAAATAAAATTAAGTGAAAGGTTAAAACAATAAAACAGCCCGGATCCGAATGTTGTAGATTTCTACTGGGTCGGGCCGTCACCAACCTACCAACATTTCTATAAATACGCGATGAGCGCCTTGTAATTTTCTTTCAATTCTGCTGCCAAAACAGAAGCGACAATGGATGCTCAACCCGAACCCGTCAGTTATATCTGTGGAGGTACTTGGCTATTCTTTTCTTACAAATTATATCTACATATAATTATTTGCATGCGATTTTAGGTGATTATTTGTGCGTTTGTAGATTGTGGACAAGATAATACTCTGAAGCAAGGCGATGTGATTCAGTGCCGTGAATGTGGTTATCGTATTCTCTACAAGAAGCGAACCCGCAGAAGTAAGCGATTTCAATTCGATTTACTTTTCAATTTTGGTTTTCGTATCTGCACAATTATCTGCTATAAATTTTCTGGATCTTTAATCAATTTACTTGATTTTTAGGGCTTGGACATATTAATTTATAGTTCGAAGTTTTGAGGCAATATGTAATTTATTAGCTCTGAGTTTGTGTTCTTATTTGTTCTTTCCTGTTAGGTTTAAATTTTACCTGTTCTTTATGGCTCAAAAGTAAATTGTTCTTCCCTATTTGGTATCTGGCAATCTAATTACCCCTTTTCTGTTAGAGTACAGTTGCACGCATGCTTAATTTAATGTGTACTCAACTCTGTACATGCCTTCATAATCAGGTTGCTTATGTAGTTTTTATATTTTTGTGCAGTTGTGCAATATGAAGCTCGTTGACACTTAAGGTTTGGGTGCCAACAAACTGGAATGCTGCATTACCTATAGTCTCTATTTCTTAAGGACACAGTATTAGATATTATTAGGTATGTAATGGTGCTATGTTTGAAAAAACTGCTTCCTGCTTCTCTATGCCTTTTGTTTGCAACTGTCGTTATATTGTGATTTCTTGAAGTGATTTGCAGGCAGCTTGTTTGCTGCAATTTGGTTAAATCTGTTGTAATTCAGATGCAAAAAGATGCCGAGTAGGGTGTAGTAAAACAATAATCATTATACAACTTTGAAGGTAACATAGTTTAACACATGCAACATACTGAACATAGTGTCTTAGTATATCTTATTACAGTTATGATAACTACGTAGTTCACAGACTAGACTGCCCTTTAGAAAGCCGAGATTTCTATCCCCTTGTTATTGTAGAAACCAACGGGTGCATCATACTTGCTGAAGAGTCTGTAGGAGGAAATGAGTGAAATCCCGATGTAGCATAGGCTTACAGTGAAAGTGATGGCAACAGATGCAGCGGCCTTGTGGCAGAACCCGCCAAATGAGCCGCAACTTTCACTCCACATGGCCGCGCTGTCCCCTTTGTAGGCTAGATAAACCACCTCTGTTGCCACAGCTCCAGCTCCCAGAATCACATATGTGAGGATCTGCAGTAGTAGTCAGTATAGGGAAAGTTTAGAACTTTAGATAGAATGGAACAGGATATGATATGATATGCTCTTCTGCATTTCATCGCTTTATTTATACACCTAAACTGGAACCTGATCGAGTAGGAAGAAAGTCCAGGCGCGAGGCATGCTGGATGGCCTAGGTATGGCTGCAGCCACAGCTGATAGGAGTGAATAGCCTGCACATATTCCATTTACATGTACCAAATATCTGCACAGAAGAATGAACAGAGACCCTAATTAGTGGATGATTAGAATTTGTTGATTACTGTGGGTTACTGGGTTTAGATGTAAATTGCCTACAACAATCTAGTGTCACTTGGGTGTCTACTTTGAAGAGGAACAGTTGGAAATCTTGAAGTATTTTCACAACATACATATAATTCATATTCCTCCAACTCCTCCAAGATGATTAGATTTCAATTACCTTACTAGTAGCATCAAGGCAAATTATATTCTGGATCATGGTCCACATTGCAATATGGATACATGATCATTTTTAATATACTGAAGGCACATATGGACTGAAAATTCATTATTTGGTAATATACAAAATAATGAACTTCCCGTACTTAAATAATGCACTTTCAAAAAATGAACATTTAAGTATATATATTAAAAATGTGTCTTATATCAATGGTCTATCTCACGACGTTATAATGATTGTAGCATCAATGGGTTAATATTAGAAATGGTCCTTCAACTTCCAACTGTATCAGATCAAAGTCTTTGACTATGCATTCGCTATTAGATCAATGTTATAAATTCATTGACACTCTTATAAGTGCTAAATTTTCAAATTAAAATTGGAAAAATCTTAATTTCCATACCAAAGTCATTTCAAGTTTCTATCCTATTGGATGTTCCTTGCCAAACTTTAACCCTCTTGTGAGGATTGCAAATATCTACTCTACTTCCCTATCTCTTGCGAAATACTCAAAAGATATAAATTTACTGAACTTTTGTAAGAAGGATAAAATGATAATTTATCGTGGAATTACAATTCTACAAAGTGTAGAATTGCAATTTCTATGGAGACTTTAGTCCCTACTCCTTAGGAATTATAATTCCATGGTCGGAGGGAATTGTAATTCCATGGAATGAAATTACGATTTCTTCCAACCAAACCATGAAATTACAATTCCTTCCAACCAAACCATGAAATTACAATTTCATAGAGTTTGATAAGAATGGATTTGCAATTTCATCCTACCAAACACCCCATTAAGTCATTTGAAAGGTGAACTAAATCAAGTACGAATAATAAATGTATGTATACTCAAAGACCTAATTTAGGTCAATTGAAAGTCAAAAATTAATTTTGATATTTCAACTGTCCATGTTGCTAAATACTCAGATTAAAAGACTTGATTTAAGTCAATTGAAAAAGTGAACTAAATCAAGTAACAAATGCATACTCATAGATTCAATTTAGGTGAGTCGAAGCCTAAATTTAGATATATTAAAATAGTTAAAAAAAATACGGAATAATTGTTTATATTAACTTTAGAATTAAAATCACAAATACTTAGTTACAACCAAAAGACTAAGAGGAATTAGATGAAATAATATAACTAAAAATTATTAAAAAAAAATTTATAAAAGAAAAGTAAAATTCATAACCTTATTAGGGGGTTTGAACTTTGAACCGACCATTTAAAAAATGTTTTCAATGATAAAGTGAAAAAGCTAAGAAATAGATGAAGGGGAAAATGGGTTACTTGAAGGCTCCAAGGTCTGAGTAGGAGAGGGAACCAAAGTCGTTAGTTTGGGAGTTTTTGAGCATGATGACAAGCGCCACCACACACAGAGCCATCGGAAGGAGGCGGAGCAACGTCTCCGCCGTGCGCATGCCGCCGCCGGTGCTTCCTCTCTCATCTTCCCCATCTACTCCTCTCCCTGAACTCTCCATCCCCACGGCCACTGGAGAATTTGCAGAGAACACAGTGCTTGTTTGAGTCTTGCCCCCCATCACGAAGTTCTAGGTTTTTGTTTGTTTAGAGTGAGTATTCAATTCCCTAGCTTAGCTTGTTAGCAGCCTACGAAGACTATGGCAAAGGGAAAGGGAAAGTGAGATGACAGAAACAGTCCCCATTATTATTAATATTGATGAGCTCTAGCCCGGCATGGAGGTAGTTGGCTTTGCACTAAATGCTCATCAAAGCTTTTGCCACTCTCCATCATATATGCATATGCTCATCTAATTCTCTATCTCTCTCTTCATAACTCTTCTCTCTCTCTCTCTCTGCACTCATCTCTTCACTCGTTCCCAAGAATTCAGAATGCCCTACACCCACTACGTACGAAACGTACTACGTAGACCAGTCTAGAAATGATACGAAACGTTGGCATAGTTGTTAATATTTTTTCCTTATTTCAAACCAGGAAAATTGTCAAAATAGGTACTTCAACTTTATCTTCAAAGTATAATTAAAATTTTAACTTTTAAAAATGTGTAATTAAAAATTTACAAATTTATTATTTTGGTGCATTTATACCCAGTAATTGGTTATTTACATGAAATAATCGATTATTAGGGTTTTGTCAAATAATTTCGACGATCGAAAACTGACGAATGATTGTCATTGCTATTGAAGAAGGAGAAGACAACTGGACTAGTCACCTTTTCCACTTGGTTGTCATCTCTAGTGGAGAAGGTGACAGTTGTCTTCTCCGGTGAAGGCAACCATCAATAGTTATTATTATTATTATTATTATTATTATTATTATTATTATTATTGAATTGTGACGATTTGGTGGCGGTCAATAGCGGTGAGCAACAGTAATTTTACGAGTAACAATTGGTTACCGATAAATAGAGATTATTTTATTCATTTTGACAAATTTGTATGTTTAATTGTACACCTTTAAAATGTAAGAGTTTGCTATTTTGGACAAAGTTCAAAAATCTATTTTAACTCTTTCCCTTTCAAATATTTGTAAATATTAATTATTTGCAAATGACCTTGTGGTCTAATGATACCAATTTGCTTGATATTGACTCTTTGTGTTTCAGCAGGTTGAGAAAATAATTATAAACAGATACTGCATTGTAACCGAGTCAGTAGTACTCAAAGAAAATACTAATTATGTATTAAATTTATGATTCAGAGAGTTAAACACTATTACTCCGTATCTATATATGTATGTATGTATGTATAAGTGTTATTTCAAGTATGAACAACTCTCTTCCGTAAAAAGTTTGGATTGATCTCAACCGTTCATTAATGTTTAATGGTTTTAGTAAAAAGTACATGACCAATTTATAATTTATATACTTGTAATATTTATGAAATTGATCACAGCGTTTTCTCGTTATTTTTCGGCAATCCTTAACTGTTGATTTACCATTAGTAAAGCCGGTTAGTATTTACCTTAACATTCAATAGTAAAACTTTAGGGGAAAATGCATTGTTAGTCCTTTAATTGTTCTTTGCTAACAGTTTTAGTCATTAACTTTTTAATGTTGCAATATACTACTAGAGTACCAGCCTCTTCAAAAAAATTGTAATTTTAACCCCTGAAATAACAAAACAATTAAACTCTATTAAAATTTTACTTAGTACATGAATATTTTAGTATTTCTTTTCAATGTTTCTTTCTTAATTATAATCTTCTTGAGTCTCAATATTTTGTGTAAAATAAAAAACTTGATTTTAAAAAGTTCGTGTAAAAAAAAATAAGGATTAAACTCTATTAAAATTTTACTTAGTACATGAATATTTTAGTATTTCTTTTCAATGTTTCTTTCTTAATTATAATCTTCTTGAGTCTCAATATTTTGTGTAAAATAAAAAACTTGATTTTAAAAAGTTCGTGTAAAAAAAATAAGGACAATGTACCACAATTGAAGAAGAAAATTTTATGGAAGAAGATTGTCAATTCCCTATTTTGCATATTAAATACTAAAATCAAAAAAAGTTATAAAGAATAAATATAATAAAAGAGTATATTAATTTTGTTTATTCGGGGTTAAACGTGTAACTTTTTTTAGATATATTGCAATGACAAAAAGTTAGGGACTAAACCAGATCGCCATGAACAATTGAGGAATTAAAAATGTATTTTTTTCCAAAACTATATTTTAATTTGATTTTTCAAATTTCAATATTTAACCCAATCAACCATTTTTAATTTGGTCCGAAACACATTTTCAAAATTTTTGGTTTATTAGAAAACGATATAGAAAGTTTTCTTATTTAATTTTAAAAAATGTGTTTCTGATTTTTTTGTTAATTAGAGAAAAATATTAGAGGAGATTATATAGTAATGTGGAGGAGAAGGACCCACAAAATGAGAAGATAAGGAGAAAAAAGTTATGAGTAATGCTTTAAGATGAGCTCAATGCCCCTCTCACTTGGAATAGTCACCCATTGGATTCGGCAAATTATGTTGTGAGCACGTGCCCACCTTGCAAGGTGGGCACAGTTCTATAGTCATAATTTCTATATTGTAGATCTATAATTTCTATACTATAGATTCATAATTTTATACTTTAAATTCCAATTGTTGAACTCTGTTTTCACAAATCAGAGAACTATATCTTCATAATTTAATAACTATACAATTTATAAATTATGAATTTACGGTACAGAAATTATGAATCTACATTACATATATTATGAATCAGCAGTATAGAAATTATGAATCTACTCTATAGAAATTATGAAAATACCGTATTTAAATTATGAGTCTACGGTTTAGAAATTATGAATCTAAAGTATAAATTTTATGAATCTACAGTATAGAAATTATGGATCTACCGTATGGATCTACAGTATAGAAATTATGAATATGAAACTGTGCCCACCTTGCAAGGTGAACACGTGCTCACATCATAACGTTCCATTCGATGCCACTTGGGCTCCTTCCAAATCATAGTCAATTTTTTTAAAAAAAAATTATTTGAGGGGCATTTTGGAAAAATATCTTTTCCCAAAATGCAAGATCCAAACAATACTCAAAGTAGCGTTTGAAATTTCAGCGATTTAGAGCAAAACACTACTCCAAACCGTTGATTTACCAATTATTTTTTTGATATTTTGACAAAAAAAAAAAAATGAAGGGATGGAACGGTCATTACCAAACAATGCCATAGTCCCTTATTCAACAACAAAAAAATTATTTGAATATTAAAAATACATTATTTTGTATAATATATATTCAATATATGAATAATATATTTTTAATATATTTTGTATTAAAAATATACTTTTTATTATAGTCCACACAATAGTGTGTGGACTATGGTGCATCAATAATTTGCCGTCCACAATCACATCTTAATTTTGCAGACTCGATAAGATGAGATTGATGGGCATGACTTGATTCAATAAAAGAGACAAATAATGCATCCATCAATCAATATAGTATTAAATGTAATGTATATGGGACGTAGAAGAGGTCCCTGCCTAAGATTAAGGTCGGTATGATCTTACCAAACACGGAGTATCAAATAGGGAAGTTTTAAGAGAATCCAACTTCAAATTTGTAAAATAGTCTGCAAATTGAATTGAGGTTTTCTTTAGTATTGTTACTAAAGTTGTTTCTATGCTTGAGTGTAAGAAATGTTTAATCATTCCATTGATCTTTATTGTAAATGTTTCAATATATGATTAATGAATTAACTTTTTTATTTTTTAAAAAAAAATAATTAAGATGGGTTAATTAAAAAAAATTAAGATGGGTACTTGTGTAATTATATATTAAATCTTTGACTTAATTGGGATAACAATGTATCCACATGACAAATTATACTATGAACCATAGTTCAGAAATAAATTATCATTTTTAATATACTGAATGTTCATTTTTAATATAATGAAAAGTCATTTTTTTAGTAGTATACCTAAAAACAAACTCTTTTTTTTTTTTTTTTTTTTTTTTTTTGGGAGTGAGGAGTGGGGGGTGGGGGATACCCAACAAAACTAGGCTCTACTGTCTGTAGAAGCAAAAAGCACCCGATCCTTTCTCAAAGACGCATTGATGTCCTCCGGTGGCACATGAAATTCGATCCAATCACAATATCTTCTCGGCGCCATCTTTGCTAGCTCGTCAGCAACCGTGTTGTTCTCCCGCGGTGTATAGGAGATATCAACCAACTATCCTTTCTCAAGTCACTCTCTGCTTCATTTAACCAAATCACCGCATTGTCCTAGCGGTTCAGTTCTGCCGGTAAGCCAAAGTATCACTTATTGAGAGTCAGTAAATACTTTAATCATCTTCTGCACGTGCTCCCAAGTCCCAAGCCCATTATACCTAAAAACAAACTTTTAGTATACAAAAAGTGAACATTCAATGTATTTTTTTTATAAGAATTTTTTTTAATATTCAATGTATAAAAAATGAATTTTATGTTAATAGTTCATCTTGCAAGATAAAGAGTTTACTACCAATTTAGTCCCTCGACTATTATGATTTCACTAATTTGGTCATCGACTACCAAAATTTCTCAATTTAGTCTCCAACTATGTGTTTTTATTATTATTATTATTATTATTATTTAACCCAAAATGGTCCTATAGTCAAACTATTGTTTGTTATACGTTAAAATTGAGGACAGATTTATAATTTCACTTTATTTGCCATCTTGGGTGTAATTTTTCATCTCAAGACTTTGCCTAAATTAGCTTAAGTAAATGATTTCGAGACCGACCTGAGCATCAAACATGTTTGATTTTGGTGCAGGAATCTACTTGATCGGAGTTGGGCTGGAATAAACAGAATGCCAGCGTTTCTGGCCAGGGGATCGCTCTGGTAAACGAAGAAAGGATAAGGGTTTACCCAGAACTGTGAACCGGTGGCGTTATTGAAGTCGAGCAGACCTTTGAGCAAGTCGGTGACGGCGGGATCGAAGCTCCCGAACGACGGCAGATCAGATGACCTCAGCAACGACATCCCGTGAACCGTGGACACCTTGATTTTCCCGGCGAGGGAAGCAATGCCGAGGGTGTTCTTCATGTTTTGCATCGCCGGTAGGAGTTGCTTCATCAGATTCTGGTAACCCGAGTATAGAATCTCGTTCCCTACGTTTATGGTCGTGATCTTACTCGCCGTGTAGAACGGAAGCACATTGGCCGCCACCCAATTCTTGGCAATCCCGGGGTCGGAAGCCATCGTTGGAATGTTGCCGTTAGCCACCCGATCATATTCCCGGTACCCGTGTCAGCCAACGCCCTGATCATCGCCGGGTTCACTCCGTACAACCTCACCCTCTCAATCGATGTAGACTACAAAAGAAGATGATTATTTGAATTACCAAATTTACCCTTCAAATTTGACGAAAAAATAGACGGATGACCATTTCGGACAAAAAATGCATAGTTGATGACTAAATTGAGAAACTTTGATAGTCAAGAACCAAATTGGTGAAATCTTAATAGTCGAGGGACCAAATCGGTAATAAACTCGCAAGATAAACCATTGATAGGTTATATACCCCAGGTCCGTGTTCCCGCTTATAATCGGATCGGGATCAAATGATTCAGTTCCAGTCTACGGGTCGAAGTCAAAGGTGACAGGTCAAACCCGCCACCTCCTTGCCCCTATAAAAGGGCTTCTAGCCCTCCAACTTAAAGGGGGCTCCCCTTCACTCATTCCACTCTCTCTCTCTCTCTATGCTTTTAGCTTACTTGCTCTCTTCCTTCTCTCTACAAGAAAACACACAAAAACTCATGAATAAAAGGGTTTCCATCTTTTTCCTACCTTCTTCTGTTGCTTATACATTATATATACACGATCTATATACATACATACAGTACATACATCCTATACGAGCGGAAATTAGTACTATTAACCATGATTCAATTGTTATATTGTGCATTTGTGCACCAAGGTGCACAATGCATTGTGCGCCCTAAAAATTCTCTGTTTTGTATGTACATAATTGTATAGTAGAATATACATAAACTCCTAACATAACACACATAATCTAACATAATACATAATACACATAAACTCTTAACATAATACATATAAACTTTTAACATAATACACATAAACTCTTAACATAATATACATAAACTCTTAAGGCGCACAACCATAATGATTAGTATCGATATATGATGTTTGGGCCGGTTTGAGTAATTGAGTCGAGCCCAAACAAAGGTTTGGTTTGGACACCAATCCAACTGATCTGACCACACATTCATTCTTGTCAGAAAGGATAACAAAAGCAGCAGCATTCCCTTTGAAGTTGAATCACAGAATTGAAAACAAAAGAAATGTCATTACACTTGCACTTCTTCACCCATCACTGCCACTTCCCATCTCTCCCAAATCCCTCACTTCCAAAGTTTCACTCTCTTTCAGCCTCCTGCAGGCTAAAGAATGGTGTGGTGTCCCGGCCCGCGACCCGAAGGCGCCTCATTTCATCAACCAAGACTGCCTTCCACCCTACAATATCAGCCTCTCTTGATTTGACAGAAGACAATATCAAGCAGGTCTTGGTTGATGCCCGGACAGAGGTAACTAGCTACTAGACGGGACAGTTTAAACGGTTTATCTATATTTTAATTTGTTTAAACCGTTAGTTCACTCTTATACTAAGTTAAATTTTAGATTAATTTTCACCTTTACCAACTACTTGGATCATTTTTGTGGTGTAACTAACAGTTCCATTTTAAGTAAACAAGTTGGGATTCCTTAAACATATATTTTAATGTTGTGCATGCAGCTGGCTCAACTGTTTGATACTGAAGTGGGGATAACAGGTGATTCCTAAATCCTAATCATGGATACCCAATTATTATTATTTTTTTAACGACTACAATCTAACCCTATTTATAGTACTTCCACATAATATAATATGCCAACTTCTGAACTGGGATGAGACTTGAACGTGTGACCTTCCGTTCCGTTGGAATGGTAACCCAAATGTATATGAATGTGAAGAAATTAAGTGTTGTAAACAGGGAGAGTAGAATTGGCAGAAGTTGATGGACCATATGTGAAGATCAGTCTGAGTGGCAAGTTTTGGCACAAACGTTCTACTGTTTTAGCTAGGCTTGGCAATTACTTGAAGCAAAGAATCCCTGTCAGTCTCTAATCTCATTATTTTTCCTTTCATAAAAACGAATGTAAAGACCAAATTAAAAGACGTTGGATCAAGTGAAAGAGACCCTTTAAACGAATGAATTGTCGAATGTTGTGTGGTCTGATCTAAATTGATTTTGGTTGGTTGGTATATATGAACAGGAAATCCTGGAGGTTGATATAGAAGATGAGAAGCAGTTGGATGATAGCCCTGCAAGCTTCTGATCTGAGGCTCTGATCTTCAACCTAATTCTTTTAATTTGCCCTTCTATACAATATTGGCCAAGGCCATCAAAAATACCAAGGCATTAGTACTTTCATAGTATTACTTCTATTATTGTTTTTAACGTTGCGTTTTGCGCTTGTGTATAAAATCTTATGAAACTATAGCTTACTTTTGGATTGCAAGCTCACATCGAATTATCTTATAAACATAAATATAAATAAAATGTATATGAGCAATAATGCATGGTAATGGCATAAATGCATAATTGTAATCATAAAATATTGAGTGCTAATTTCTTACAACTATGTTATTAGTCATTTTTTGGGTAAAGTTTACATTATGTACTCTGGTGTTCAGTAAAACTACATACTGAAAGTTAAAACACAAACTCAATAATTCAATATATTATAGCCTAGTGAGCTAGCTAGCTCAAGGCCTTCTATCTCTATCTCATCTCACACTGCAGCCAAATGACAAAATAGTATATATGCCTAGAAAACACTTAAGTGCCTAATGCCAATGAAAGGAAGTGTGATATTTTGATACTTCATTTATATATGTTTAGTAGGTACTAAGTTTATTCAATGAAAATTAATACTTGTACAAATTAGATTGTGAAACTTTGTGATCACTCTCAATGTGATCTGGCCTCTTTTGGTCTTTAACTTTTTATTTTTTTTAATGTATTATTAGCCTAACTCAATCTAAATTTGTGTAATCTTGTTTAAGTTTCTATCCCTTTTGATTGGTGAAAAAAATGGTAACTTTGACCGGACTAACTTTGAACACACCAATAAGTAATCAAACTTCTTACCACCATGCTTCAATTCAATACCAACAATGCTTTAAATATTTTCAAGTTATAAGTATTGGTAGAATCTTTTTAATTATGTCTATTTCCAAATCTATAACAATTTGAAGTATAATTTATTTTGTTTAAAATATTACTCTATAAATAACTAGCATTTTAAAACATATCAATGAGTTTATTTTAATTACGAATTTATTTCTTTTTAAATTAAAATTCGAGTGCGAACTTATGAATAAAGTAACATACACTGAAATAAGAATAATTGATGAAATGGGTATGAAACCATGACATATATTAAGATTAGATATAGGGGTGTTTGGTAAATGGATGTTAGCTCATAGCGGATAGCTGTTAGCTGATTGGGTTAGTTGATTTGACTAGTTGATAACATTAGCTAATTATAGAAAAGTGTTTGGTAAATTAGATGTTAGCTGTGAGTTGTTACATACAAAATGATTTTCTCAAAAAACTGATCGAAAAAGTTACTTTGAACAACTTTTTGAATTTTAACATTTTGGAGCAATAAGTTATAAAAAACTAATTAATCAAATACTCATATTGATTGTTTAATTAAGTCAAATAACCAATACTGATTAAATAAGTTACAATTAACTGATAGACTAACTATTTTATCAAACACGTCGATAGTGTGCAGGAGTGTACAAGAAGCAAATCTATTTCTGTATTCTTAAGATCACATATGAAGAAGCAGAATCCATCCTGATCCAGGTGGATAAAGATTATAGGACATTTCAATTGTGCAGCCCAGCCAGAAACCAAAATATCTCTTATCCAAGTAACCAAGCCACATGTGTTATCCTCATTTGACAACAAGATCCTAGTTTTATCATCAATATACAACAATTCAACTGTCCACCACAATTTCATTCCTCTCTTTCTGGCCCACAAAACCCTTGGTGGTTTAGGCTTTGCCCACCACCTGTTTTATTATTATTCTTATTATTATTGCTTTTACAAGGTAATCCAAACTCACTATCTCACACTATCAAGAAAAATGGCAGCACAGGCTTTGATCTCCTCTTCATCCATTGCCTCTTCAGCTGAGGCTGCAAGGCAGGTTCTTGGAGCAAGGCCTGTCCAATCTTCTTCTAGGAAGGTTTCTTTTGTTGTTAGGGCTGCCTCTACTCCCCCTGTTAAGGTATGTCTCTCACTCTCTCCCTCCTCGTTCTCGAACTCATGACCTTTCTCATAAATCTGATACTAAATTGAAAGATGCACTTCTGTTATGGGCTCATGGCGTCCTCAACCAAAAGTCTAAGACCTGTTAGGATCAAACGCTTACCATTATGTCAAAAACTGTAACTAGTAGCGTAAAAACAGGGTGCTGGACTTGGCCCTTCACCAGGCTCAGCCTAACAATCCCCTAATTTAACATGGTGCTTACCGGCCTCTACCCAACAAGACCTTTATATTTCCTCACATGTAAATGATGAAAATGAATTGTGTTTCAGCAAGGAACAGATAGGCAGCTTTGGTTTGCATCCAAGCAGAGCCTCACCTACTTGGATGGGAGGTAAACTCCATGCTCATCAAAACTAATATAATACTATGTAAACTGTTGAATCGAATCCAATCTGATTGAAGAAATATAACGAATGAGTGCAGCCTTCCTGGTGACTATGGATTTGATCCACTGGGACTGTCAGACCCTGAAGGGCCTGGAGGGTTCATAGAGCCAAGATGGCTAGCATATGGGGAGGTGATCAACGGGCGTTACGCGATGATGGGGGCAGTAGGAGCCATAGCCCCAGAGATTCTTGGGCAGGCTGGTCTGATCCCACCCGAAACAGCCCTCCCATGGTTCAAGACTGGGGTGATCCCCCCTGCAGGAACCTACAACTACTGGGCAGATCCTTACACTCTATTCGTGTTCGAGATGGCTCTGATGGGGTTTGCAGAGCACAGGAGATTCCAGGACTGGGCAAACCCTGGATCAATGGGAAAGCAGTACTTCCTGGGGCTGGAGAAGGGGCTAGGAGGGTCAGGTGACCCAGCATACCCTGGTGGCCCTATCTTCAACCCCTTGGGGTTTGGAAAAGATGAGAAATCATTGAAGGATTTGAAGCTGAAAGAAGTGAAGAATGGAAGGCTGGCTATGTTGGCCATTCTGGGATACTTCATCCAAGCTTTGGTCACTGGAGTTGGTCCCTACCAAAACCTGCTTGATCATTTGGCTGATCCTGTAAACAACAACATCTTGACCAACCTTAAATTCCACTAAACCTCTGATATATATTAATATATGTATCACCTACCATGTGCACATACTGCTATCTGCATCCCATCTGTAATCAGTAATCTGCAAGAAAAAGGATATGCATGTAACTTTGAGCGCCTTATTCAGTCTTAGTTGAACCTTTCTTTCTGTTACGTTGTCAATCATTAGCAGTAATTGATGGATGAGTAAATACCTAAAATGGTCCCTCGACTATAGCTAAATTCACAAATTGGTTCTCGACTTTCAATTTTAACTAATTAAGTCCTTAACTTTGTAATTTTGACACGATTTGGTCCTCAATCTATTTGACTATTTGTTAACCGTGATCGACGATCTCTAGAAGAACCTTCAGCTCTCGTCGGAGCACCTGGAGGCCTCCAGGATGACGTTGCACGGATTCGGAAACACGTCGTCTTCTTCGTTCTGGTACGAACTCAACTACATTGAATCCAAAGGGAGGATGAAGAAAGGCGGACCGGGGATTTGGTAGATTGCTTTCGGCAGTAGATTCAAATGTAACAGTGCGGTCTGGAAATGCAACCGGAACCTTAAAACCCCGTCGATGGACCATAAAATTACATATATATCTTCAAAAATCACAGTCAACAAACGATCAAATAGACAGAGGATCAAATTGTGTTAAAATTGCAAAGTTAATGACTTAATTGGTTGAAATTGAAAGTCGAGGACCAATTTGTGAATTTAGCTATAGTCGATGGACTATTTTGAGTATTTACTCTTGATCAATGGTAGTATTTTCTTTAGGGAAAAGTCACGGTCAAATACACCTTTAAATTTTACACCAAAATGCAATTAAGTTCCTGAGCTTAAAAATTACTCTATTATCCACATTCATGAGGTTGTGAGGGGTGCAGATCCGATCCAATCTAATATGCTTATAGCGAGTTTGACAGATTAAATGTATATAGGATGATTAATTTTAAGTTTAAAAATAAAATAAAATAAAATATATTATAATACAAGATTTCAATCATTCAAATATTAAAATCACAAATTTTTCAAGCATCGCATTAAAAATAATAACAATAAACAAATTCTAATTAAAAATATATATATATAAATTATTAATTTCAAATTCAAACAAATTTAAATTACACATATTTATTTAATTTAAAATTCAGCACGAGTAGTTCCAACTTTTGATGTTGAAGATCCTGCTATAGAAGACGAAGAAGAAGATAGTACATAAATACATAGTAATATGTTAAGGCATATTAATGACATTTGAAAAAGAGATACCTACATCAAGGCTAAGCTTAACGAATACACCAAAATGTAATTAAGAAATTGAACTAACAAGATACTGTAATTGTATTCCTGAACAACACAAAACCATGTAATTAAACTTATCATGACTACCAAGAAGGCAAATTATATCATGCACCACGGTACATGATCAATCATGCACCGCGCGTCTTTTGTTTTTTAAATGAAAATAAACAGTGTTTGTTTTCCGCCGTTTCGTACCCTTTTGCAAAAAGTAACCCTGTTCTTCAGTGTCATTTTGTATACACTGCAGTGTCAGTTCAACACAACTACAATTTCATTTCGATATAACTATAGTTTCACTCGATATTTATAGATTCAAATATGTAAAATGTTATTTAATTTTATTTTATATACACTATAGTTTCATTAAAACACAACTACATGATCATTTTGATATAATTAAGCTTCATTGTACAATATACACTCAAATATGTGAAATTTTTTCAGTTTCATTTTATATACACTGCAGTTTCATTTCACTATAACTACAGTATCATTTTGATATAACTGCAGTGTCGGTTTAGATATACTGTAGTGTCAGTTGGTGTTTAATACACCAAACAAGCGGACTCCGTTAACTATAACGGCGGGCCGTTTCTTTACTTAAAGAAACGGCGCTGTTTTTTACCGCTGTGCACATGCACCGCGGTCTATGATATAACAACTGTACCAAGACTATGTGGTCTAATGGTACTTGGATTGAACTTCCATTTGGAAAGTTGTGAGTTCGAGCTTCAGTCGAGGCATTATTGGTTCTTTGTGTTTCAGTAGGTTGAGAAAGAAAAGAACTCAAAATGACTTAACAATTTTAAAAATAAAAAATAAATTTCAACTACCGATTGTCCGGCGAGGACAACCACAACTGTCAACATGAAGTCTAGAT